TCCCACTCCTGGGCCCTGACTCTGATTCCTGGGCCCTGGGGCCTACTCCTGGGCCCTGACTCTGATTCCTGGGCCCTGACTCCCCCTCCCCGGACCCGGGGCCTACTCCTGGGCCCTGACTCCCCCTCCCCGGACCTGGGGCCTACTTCTGGGCCCTGGCTCCCCCTCCCTGGGCCCTGATTCCCACTCCTGGGCCCTGACTCTGATTCCTGGCCCCTGGCCCCCTCTCCCGGGCCCTGACTCCCACTCCTGGGCCCTGACTCTGATTCCCGGGCCCTGGGGCCTACTGTCAGCTTTCCTACCTTTGGAGAGCTTGTTGTGTTTTTCCAAGAAGTTGAACCACTCCTTGCATCCAGTCAGCTCCTGGCTCCTATTACTTGGAATGTCCTCTTTGCAGGCCAGCTTCAGTTGGTTCAGGTCCTCTGGCGTGATGTTGGATGAGAGGTCATCAAGTAAGGCAGCAAACTGCACTAACTCCGTGTCTGCCATGATTCTCTGGGAGGGGGGAACGACACAGACAGAGAGGGATAGCAACATAGACCATCAACCCTTCCAGATTGCTCCCCCATACGGTCATGGCTAATCATCCAACTCAATCCCCTTCACCCACTATCTCCCTTTAGCCCTAAGAACTGTATCTAACTCCTTCTGGAAAACATTCCATGTTTCGGCCCCGACCGCTTTCTGTGACAGAGAATTCCACAGGTTCCCCACCCTCTGGGTGAAGACTTTTCTCCCCCATCTCAGTGCCACGCCTTCATCTGTGACCCCCTGGTTTTGGACAGACTCTGGGGTTCGATGGAGCGAGCGAGTGAGAGACGGAAGAAAGAATCAGAGAGAACTCCGAGATAGCCTGAAAGATGGTAAACTAGACAGTGGGTGTGAGAGAGAGATGGAGGGACTGAGAGAGGGCGAGAAGGAAGGGAGAGGAAAAGAAGCTGAGAGAGATGGAGAGGTTGAGAATCAGAAGATGGGAGAGAGAGACAGAGCGATAGGATTGAATTGGAAAGTGAAAAGAAGTGAGAAAGAAGAGGAGGGCAAGGACTCCAGAGTGAGAGAGAGAGAGAAGTGTGAGGGAGAGGAAGACAGATCGAGAAACAGAGAGATAGAGAGAGAGACAGTGAGAGAGACAGATAGATAGAGAGACAGTGAGAGAGACAGATAGAGAGAGAGAGTGAGAGAGAGAGACTGAGAGACAGAAGGAGAGAGTGAGAGAAACAGATAGAGAGAGAGAAAGACTGGAAGACAGTGACAGAGAGAGACAAAGAGAGAGAGTGAGTGGGAGACAGAGAGAGACAGAGACAGAGAGAATGAGACAGGGAGACAGAGAGAGAGTGCAAGACAGAGAATGACAGACGGGGAGAGAGAGAGAGAGAAAAACAGTGAGAGCCGAAGACAGAGAGTGAGAGATAGGGAGACAGTGATGTAGAGAGAGAGACAGAGACAGACAGAAAGAGATGAGAGAGATAGATAGACGGAGAGGCAGAGATAGGGAGAGACTGAAAGTGCGGCAGCCAGGAAGAGAGATAAAGAGACAGCGCGAGGAAAAATGGAGACAGACAGAGAAAGATGAGGAGAGTCTGATGGGGGTGTGGAGAAATAGAGAGAGAGAGGGAGGGAGAGAAGAATGAAGAGGTAGTCAGACAGAGAGAGATGGAGAGGGGATGGTCTATAAACAGGGTACTGTTTGCTTTGCCCTACACACTGTAGTCTCTCTGCTGGAGTACCTCACGCCGACCCGACCAGACCCCGAACACCACTCTCACTTGTTGACAGTGACTGGGAGGGACAGAGGGAGGGAGCTCAGAACTCCGCTCCCTCTCCTCCCACCAGGCCCCAGCCCCCAGCCCGCCTCACTCCCCATCTCCTGCTGTTCAAAACCGGCCTCTTCCAAACACCGTCTCCCTGGAAACCAGGCATTCCAGAGGCTCCGGCGAGCAGTTACCAGGGAGACGGCTCCGAGATCCCGGAGACTGAGGGATGTGAGAGAGAGAGAGAGAGCGTACAGAAATCTCAGGCAGGACCAGAGAGCAATACAGCCCAGAGTCACAGGCTCATTCCAGCTCACACCAGCACCTCCCCAGATCCTCCACTCACACTCACACACTCTCACTCTCACACACTCTCACACTCACTCACACACTCTCACACTCACTCACACACTCTCACACTCACACTCACACTCACACTCACACACTGACACATACACACATACACGCGCTCTCACTCTCACTCACACACTCATTCACACACACTCTCACTCACTCACACACACTCACTCTCACTCACTCACACTCACTCTCACACTCACACTCACTCACTCACACTCACTCACTCACACACACTCACTCTCACACACTCACACACACTCACTCTCACACACACACTCACACTCACACATTCACACTCACACTCATTCACACTCACACACACACACTCATTCACACTCAAACACACACTCACACACTCACTCACACACACAGACACACACACACACTCACTCTCACACTCACACACTCACTCACACACTCACACATTCTCACTCACTCACACACTCTCACACTCACACACACACTCTCACACACTCTCGCTCATTCACACACTCACACTCACACACTCACTCACACACACTCACACTCACTCATACTCTCACACTCACTCACACACACACTGACACACACTCACTCACACACACACACACACACACACACACTCACTCACACACTCTCTCACACACTCTCTCACACACTCTCACACTCTCACACACACACTCACTGACACACACTCTCTCACTCACAAAAACACCCACACTCACTCACACAAACACACTCACACTCACACACTCTCTCACTCTCACTTACAAAAACACCCACACTCAACTCACACAAAAACACACTCTCACACACTCTCACACACTCTCACACACTCTC